CGCACCGCCGTTTCCCGCGGCCGCCATCTTGGACAGGGAGACAAGGGACACCCGCCCGGCCCTGGGGCCAGGAGCAGCCAGCCGAGCGCCGAGAGCCTCCAACGTGGCACCCGCGGGGCGGGGAAGAAGGCGGGGTGCGGGACGGCCGAGCGCATCGATGGCAGATTTAGATTAGATATTAGGAGGAAACTCTTCACCATGAGGGTGGTGAGGCACTGGCACAGGCTGTGCCAGAGAAGCTGTGGCTGCCCGCTCCCTGGCAGTGTTCAAGGCCAGGCTGCATGGAGCTCTGAGCAACCTGGTCTGGTGGAAGGTGTCCCTGCCCATAGCGGGGGGGTTGGAACCAGATGATCTTTAAGGTCCCTTCCGACCCAAGCCATTCTATGATTCTATACAGACCCAGGGCTTCGGTGAGATTGGTGGACCGGCACATCTCCTGTAAGCCTGTCTGTGATTGCCTGAGGAACTGAGTGCGTGTGCTGCGCAGGTGGAGAGTCAGGACCAGACAGGGCAGAGAGAAGCACGTCTGAACAGCACGCTCGGGGCTACGGCCTGAGAAGGCGTTGTGCAACCCTCACACCCTTCCAGTCAACTGTCGAAAGGTGGTGGGCAGGAGGAAGGCTCATTACCCCTGGTGTCTTCTGAAGGACTCATTTGTTACCACAAAGGATTCAAGATAGAGGTAAAAAAACCTCAAGAAACAGCTTGCTCAGAAAAGAGAAGTCTTTTTCCCACCAGCTTAGCCTTTCTTCACTTTGACTGCTCAGGAGGACCTTGTGCAGCAAGCCTCATTCAGCTCTTACCTTAAATCCCATCATCTCCACCAGTGCAGGAGTCTTTTTATTTCGATGCCGGCAGATGCTTACACGACTCTGTCAGAGGCTGCTCACAGTCACATGCTGTCTGCAGACTACAGTTCCCAGCCATGCCTGAGGTTAAACATGACCTGTCACAGACATGCTGGTTCCTCAGCGCTTACAGATCTGCCTTCTGGTCCTGCTAATGCCTTTGTGTCCTAACAAGTTGTCCTGGTTTCGGCTGAGATAGAGTTAATTTTCCTCCCAGTAGCTGCTGTGTTTCGCATTTAGTATGAGAATAATGTTGATAATAGCCTGATGTTTTTAGTTGTTGCTAAGAAATCAAGGACTTTTTCCAGTTTCCCATGTTCAGCTAATGAGCAGGTGTACAAGAGCTGGGAGGGAGCACAGCCAGGCAGCCAGCCCGAGCTGGCCAGTGGAAATATTCCATGCCATAGACATGCTCAGTTTACAAATGGGGGTTGGCTGGAGGGCAGGAATTCTCTTTTTTCTGTGAGTTTGAACTTTTTTTGTGAGTTCAATGAAAGCAGTGAGCTCTGGAAAGCCTGTGGGTTCCATGATTGCTGCTTGGGGACCGGCTATGCAATTGCTTATCAGGTCGTGAGAAAAACTGTGTTTTGTATAGCTTGTTTTGCATATTTATTGTTATTAATGTTATGAGTATTTTCTTTGCTGTCTTCTTAAACTATATTTATGTAAACTTGCAAGTTTACCTTTTGTCCATTCTCCTCCCCATGCCACTGGAGGGGAAGGGGAGGGGTGAGCGAGCGGCTGTCTGGTGTTTAGTTGCTGGCTGCCAGGTTAAAGAGCAACACAAGTACATAATGATGACAGTAATTATTTGTCTTACAGTAGGCCCTAGAGAAATTAGAAGATGATAGAGGCCTATGCCTGTTATGCTGCGTGAAAGTATATTTTGATCCAAAGTGCGGGGTCCAGCCTCCGTGCACACAGCAATGTCTGCAAGTGCAGCAGCTGTAACACATCAGAGTAAACCCCCCCCCAGCCCTTAGGCTAAGCACAAGGCCTGTGCAGATGTTCTCACGCATGTACATATGTGCCTGTTGCTGCTGAAACTCTCTCTACAATCACTCCTTGCCCTCCAAGCCATAACCCAGGGAGGAGTTGCCCAGGTGGTCAAGTGCCTCTGCAAATTTATGGCCAGTACCTTGCCAGAGTTGAATTCACCAAGACCTGCTCTTTACCTCTGATTATAGATGATGGTTCTAGGGGTCCCAGTGATGGATCCATGCCCCACTTTGCAATGCACAGTACAAGATAATACATGTCTCCTGTCAGCAGGATTTTACAGTCTTCAGCTTCCTGCTGGTATTACTGACTGTATGGAAACATCGGTTAACTCCCGGGAGCGCTTGGCTTGTGGGTCAGGTGGAGGCAGAACGGGAGCAAGTCAGAATAAGCCATTAGCATGGCTGGGAGAGCCTAGGTGCAGGCTGAAGGAACAGCGATGCAGGTTGCTTTGAAAATTGAAAGCCTGAGTTAGCCTGGTATTTGATGATGGCAGGCATTTGATAATGATAGCTAGTAAATGTGTAGGGATGGTATGTTTAATGTTCTGTACCCTAGAATGAGAAAGGGTTCTAGCTCCCCTGCAGTTTAATGTTTTTAGTGCTGGATGGTTTGTAGGTATTAGATTGTGCCAGTTATTGTATGTGGAGGAGAGAGAATGAATTTGCAGGTGAATTTGCAAAAATGAGCATATAGCAGGATACTTGCACATGAACCCACTGAAGCACCAATCATTCAGACTTCGCCTGGTGAGATGTATCCATGCTCCTTTCCTCCCACAGAACAGTCATCATAATGATAGTAATTGTAATAGTAACAACAACAACATATAGTCCCTCCTACTGCACTTTTCGTCAGTGCAGAAATGCTTGGAAAAGCTCATTTCAATCATTCCCATTCTTCAGAGCTATTAAAGTGATCAAGCCAGCACAAATCACTGGCATTTATTGGGTGCTTTCAAA